TTAATAAGAGTTCTAGTTGAAACTGAGATCGTACCTTTGTGTTCTAGCTCCCTCTCCCATCATGTGCTCGCCTGTTCTCACAACAGGTTATGAGCCCTGCTACAGCCATGGAAATCATGCTCCCCTCCTCCAGCTCTGCCCTATTCAATGTCCCAAAGCTAGCTGAAGATGGTAGCAATTGGATTACCTATAAGGAACGAATGTTAACGGCAATTGGTGCAAGAGGTCTGATGTGGTTTACCGATGGACGTGCAGTATGACCTGTCCCCTACAAGGTCAACAAGAGGACCAAAACTCCTGAAAAGGAGGATGGCAGTGAGCCGACAATAGCAGAGATCAAGACTCTTGATAAGAAGATCGATGAGTATGACCAGAAGGACTCACTAGTGAAGCAGCAAATCTTCAGCACCATAACTGATAGGCTGCTGCTGTGTGTGCAGAAGCTCGAGGCCGCTTCAGTGATTTGGGCTGAGATCTGCAATATTCATGAAGGGAAAACTGAGCTTGTCCAGATTGATCTGAGGCAAAGGCTTCAGGAGACCAGATGTGAGGAGAATGGAGATATAAAGACTCACTTTAGCGAGATGCTTCGGCTCTGCGAGTCACTGGCAGGCATGGGAGCTGCCATTGAGGAGAAAGACTTCTATGCCATGATACTGGAGTCCCTCCCGGAATCCTATCATCCCCTACTCTCGTCCATTAGCATGGCTATGAAGATAACCGGTGCATCCATAAGCTCCTATGAACTAATCAATATTGTCTCAGAGGAATATGAGCATCAACAACTCACCAGTCAGCAACCTACCAAGAAGGGACCCAATTCAGCCCTATTAGCAAGAGGACCTCCAGGAAAAGGGAAGTCCTCGTCCACCTCCTCACCATCCAACCCAGATGCAGTTTGTTATAACTGCGACCGAAAAGGCCACTACAAAGCGATTGCTGGAGGCCAGGGGGATGAAAAGAGGGTCAGGGACCAAACCAGAGAGGGAAGATGGGAGGATGTACCCAAAAACAGAGCACAAATGCTGCAAAGGAGTCAGAGGGCCAGGAGAACTATGCTTTCATGACAGACAACCTTGCCAACATCACCCAGAGGATGAACATACCTCCTGAACGCCGTGGAGCCATAGTAGACTCCGGCGCAACCTCCCATTTCTGTCCTGACAGGTCGAAGTTCTCGAACTTTGTCCCTATCACCCCACAAGATGTATTCACTGCGAATGGGTCAGTTCTCAGCACTACTGGCAGAGGAGATGTCAAGATAGACTTACCCTTGGGGACAAAGAGAACAACTGTCACCCTGAAGGATACATTATATGCCCCCTCTATGGCATTTACCCTAATCTCGACCAACAGAATCGCTTCGGCCAGATTAGCAGTCCTGTTTGAAGGCAAGATGTGCCAAATCTTGTCGAAGGGGCCCAAATGCGAAGTCATCACCAAAATCCCACAGCTCAAGGGTCTGTATAGTGTGGCCAGTCAGAAAACACATCACGCTCATGTCACAAGGGCAAAACTTACCTTGGCCGAGGTACATCGTGCCCTAGGCCATATCTCCCAGAAAGCCATCCTGCAAGTTGCAAAGGATCAGCTCGTCGAAGGTCTGGATGTCGACCTCACCTCCCCTACCGAATTCTGCGAAGCATGCGCAAAAGCCAAAGCGACTCGTCAGCCATTTCCACAAGAGTCAAAAATGTGCGCACTCACCTACAGGGAACTCGTCCATATGGACTTGTGGGGCCCGGCACAGACTACCAGCCTTGGCGGGATGACCTATTATATTAGTTTCATGGATGATTACACCCGTGAAACAAAGGTCAAGTTCCTGAAAGCTAAGAGTGAGGCATTGGAGGCATTCAAGAGGTATGAGGTGCACCTTACTCGTCAAAACCCCAGGACACGTCTACAAAAAGTTCAATCAGACCATGGAGGGGAGTATCTGAGCGCAGAGTTCAATAAGTATCTGTTGGACCAGGGGATTGAGAGACAACTCACTGTCCACGATTCACCCCAGCAAAATGGAGTGGCTGAGCGCCTAAATAGGACCCTGGTCGAGCTCACTAGAGCGATGCTCATAGGACGAGACCTCCTGAAGTTCCTGTGGGCGGAAGCAGTGAATTATGCTACCTGGTTAAAGAACCACTTACCCTCGAGTGCCATACCTGGCGCTACTCCTCACCAACTTGTCCATAGGGCGAGACCCAACCTGTCCATGGCCCAGGAGTTCGGATCAAAGCTGTATGTCCACCAGGCGAATGCTGGAAAGCTCGAACCACGTGCTGAGGAGGCTGTTTTCGTCGGGATCGACACAGATAGCAAGGTGCACCATGTATACTGGCTGGCAAAAAGGCGAGTCTCCGTTGAGCAAAACATAACGTTTGCACCACCCGACATGCTTGTTGACCAGGATGTGCTGAACAAGGGGGAGTCAAGACCTATAGAAGAGGAGATGAGTACTGATAGCAATGCACCTAGCATCCAGCCCATCCCGCTTACTCCCACCCCTACTCCAAACGCTACTCCAAACGCCCCAGAACCCAGGGAAAGCCGAGCCAGACCAGCTCCAGGGTACTATGCCTAGCTCCAAAAGGGCCAAATGGCAGCTGTAGCCATTGAATCCCTGAAGGACGCGTCAGATTTGGATCTTCTAGACGAGGAAGCTCACATTCACTTAGCCTTAGCAACGGCTGAGCCAGAGCCCACCTTGCAGCAGGCTCTGAACGGTCCAGATGGTCCAGAATGGCAGGAAGTGCTAGACTACGAGATCAGTCAGCTGGAGAAGTTGGGAACATGGGACATCATGGACTTACCTCGCAGATCAAATATTATACCCTGCCACTTCATGTTAGCAACTAAGTGAGGCCCCAATGGCAAAAAGCTCAAGCTAAGAGCATAACTTGTCGCGAATGGAGTCAGCAATACGGCGTCGACTACTTCAACATGTTTGCCCCAACAGTGAATATGAGCACAATACATACCATATTAAGCATGGCAGCCCAGAAGGACTGGGAGATTCATCAGGTGGATGTAAAGAGTGCTTACCTCTATGCAGATGTCAAGGAAGACATATATATGAGGGCGCCACCAGGATATCTGAAGGACGGTCAGGAGAGAAAGGTACTAAAGCTAAAGTGCAGCTTGCCTGGCTTGAAGCAGGCAGGTTTTGAGTGGGCAGAGGAACTAGCTGGAGCATTTCTGAAGATGGGTTTTAGCCGCTCCCAGGTTGATCAAGCAGTATATTTCAAACGTACCCCCAAAGAGCACATCGTCATCACTGTGTTGGTTGATGACATGGCCATCACTGCCAATCACAAGTCCCACATTCTCCGATTCAAGTCGAAACTTGGCAAATTCTTTGAGATATCTGACCTGGGCAAGCTATCATGGTTATTAGGGCTAAAGGTAACAAGAGATAGAGTGGGACACACCATTACCCTTTCTCAAAAGGCCTACATCAACACAATCGTTGAGCGTTTTCATCTGGGGGACACTAAGACCGTCCAGACCCCCATGGAACCAGCCACCTCCCTGTCCATAGATCAGTCCCCTGGAATGCATGCAGAGCTAGCCACCATGCAAGACGTACCTTATCAACGAGCCATCAGCTCATTGATGTACGCGGCAACAAGCACGCATCCTGATATCGCCTTTGTGGTAGCAACATTGTTGCAGTTCATGCAAAACCCCGGAAGGGCACACTGGGAGGCTAGTAAGTGAGCTCTTTGCTACCTAAAAGCCACTGACAACTTCGAGCTCACCTTGGGATCTACAGATGCCAGGATCGAAGCATTTGTCGACACAGATTGGGCTTCACAGCCACACAGGCACTCCATGAGTGGGTACATAGTACTCCTCAATGGAGGCCCAGTGTCCTGGAGCGCAAGAAAGCAGCCCATAATCACCCTATCGATGGCAGAAGCTGAGTACATTGCTCTCACCAGTGTAGCAAAGGAAATACTGTACCTTCAACTACTCCTTGGCAAACTCTACAAACCACCAAGCCTCCCCACCCCCATATTCTGCAATAACCAAGCTGCTATAGCATTAGCGTCCACCGGAAAATTTCAATTGTGTATGAAGCATATTGACTTGAGGTACCACTTCATCCACTCACATGTGAAAAATGGCACCTTCAAGCTCCTCTACTGCCCCATGGACGATAACATCGCTGACGCATTCACCAAGGCATTGCCCTGCCCCCGGCTACAAAAGCTACACACCCACATGGGTCTGGCATGCACTCAAGGGGGAGTGTTGAAGTCCAAAGAATCCGAAGAGAAAGAGAGTGAGGAAGCCAAAGGATCCAACATGATAGGTACAAGTGAGAGAGAGAGGTCCAAGTGCATGAGGCAGACAGGCCAATAGGCTGCACCCAAATGACATTGGCTTGTGCCCTGCAATATACATATGTCAGAAAACTTCACCTTTGCATTCCTTACTTACCTTCCTATAAAACCAAGCGCCCATCAGATGCACACATCTCAGTTCTAGTTGAAACTGAGATGTGAGTACTTGGAAACATGTATGTCAGCAATTACTGACCAAAACCGTAGCGTACCTTTGTGTTCTAGCTCCCTCTCCCATCGTTCGCTCGCCTGTTCTCGCAACATCCGGCACACTGGCATGCTTACTTGACCGTGATTTCCTTTTTTCAAGTTGGGCAACGTTTGGCAAAATCGTCTTCCCAAACAGACTCAAATTTAATTAGCGTCCAAATCCAAGTCCAAATCCACGTCCAAATCGCATCCAAATCAGCCTCGAAATCCAGCTTTGAACTCCCCTTAATACCATCAGGTACTTGGGCTGAACGTTAGCCCTTGGGCAACTCTCAGACATCCACCAACAAGCCTGTACTAGTCCAACGACACCACTGTCATGACCGATGATATCAAGATATCATTCCATACACTCAGGGTTCGGCCCGCGTTGCGCTTGAGATGTTGCGTCTAGCGCCAAGGAAAATATGTACTGAGGACAAGAATAGCTAGCACTACTACGAATACGAGTCATATAGACGCCCATACTATATCCAGTGTAGGTTCGCAGAATAGTACAGCCTGGGCCAAGGCCCACGACCTTTAACTGGATCTGATCTACATTTCTCTGTTAACCTTATATCACTTTAGTACGAAGCTCATTGAGAAAGCACATGATGGAGAACGACGATGTGAGGTATGATCATATTATGCTCGGTGTCGCCATATCTGCTTTACTGAACTTCCTGTGTAACCATGCTGCAGCACAAGAGACTTACCAGACGATTTGACGCCCTTTATCACTCAAACAACTCTTTACCCTGTTAGTGGAGGTGGATTCGGCGATGTCTGGAAATGCAATTGCAATCATGATGCAAATGGTATCCCTACCCTCGTCAGTCTATGTGTTGGATTCAATTTACCATGCAACTGGCTGACCATCGGACCATTGATCGATAAGGTTGCGGTCAAGGCCTTCAGACTTCCAGAGCGTTACGATTTAGAGAAGATCAACAGAGTAAGCTCCGTACGAGAACCGCATGTTAGCCCATGCTAACTTGCGCTTACTTTGGTCGCACCCAGAAAATAAGCCGAGAAATTGGCATATTGAAGATTCTACGCCATAAAAACATTGTACCCTTGTGGGGTATAGCGACAGGATTTGGACGTATGCCAGAGTTGCGCTGCTTAGTATCTCCGTGGATCCCAAACGGCACGTTGAATGATTACCTACAATTTAACCACGATGATCTAACAGTCCTGGACCGCTCACGTATGGTGAGTAATTCTCATCACATCCCTTCACTTTTTGAAGACTCACTCTAAGTTGGAAGCTAGAGGATGTCAGCACTGGACTTTATTACCGTGAGTTTCGACCTATCTTCTCAAGGCGTTCAAGTTGTAACTCACCTTTGATGCAAGTACACTCAGTTCCTGTCATGCACGGAGATATAACAGGGGTAAATTCGGAGCTGCTAGGACATTCTTGAAAACTAATGAATACACAGGCAAATATCCTGATCGATGAGGGAGGCCATGCGAGGTTAATTGATTTTGGTCTTTCCACCATTACCCAACCCCTTCTCGGCCAGTCACATTTGGCCGCGACATCTATACGTCCAGGTGCAGTCCGCTATGCTGCACCAGAACTCGTTTTATCGGATGATGTACGTGACCTGGACTCGGTGGAAAAAGCTGATATCTACTCATTTGGTTGTGTAATGCTTCAAGTGAGTTGATGTTTTGTCACAAAACGTTTCTCTGAGGATTCGTTGAACAGATTCTCTCGGGTCAGCCCCCTTGGTCTGAGGTCAAATCTGAAAGGCTGGAGTTTCGCATTGTTGTTATGATCACCGAAGGTCGTAGACCGCAGCGTCCAGATGGTCATCCAGAAATAATGGACTCTGATTGGAACTTCATCCAAAAATGTTTGCAATCTGGACCCGAACTTCGACCTTCAGCAGATAAAGTACTTGATTTTGTCATGCATAGGTTTCACTCTCCAGGTAATCCTACATAGTTCGTGGTACTTGCCAACCATTCACTTACACAAGCTTAAAGACTCTTGTAGTAGACCGCCTGACGATCCTTTCGATGATGCGCCGGATGATTTCCCCAGAGCCTCCCCGCACGGTGGTTCTAATGACTCAGATACAACTGAACAACCACCCGACAGTCCACCACTCCACCCTAGTCGTGAACCAAATCCTTCAATCATCTTAGAGCCTCGAATTCAGGGACCTTCGTATGTTCATACACAACATTCACATGCATGTGTTTACATTTATAACTTTTGCCAACCGTAGTGCACTTAACGACCACCCCCGAACAATGCTCAACAATTTGCTTCAACGAAAGTATGGTCCGAGCGCATCTAGCCATGTAAGATGGGAGGTCTATCCCCAAGGACTTCCACACGCTCCTACCTGGCATGCTATAGTATACAGTAAGTTATCAGTAGGGTGATTCTTGGTGCTTCTCATTAAAACCATATAGTCGATGACATGATTTACGGCCATGGCACAGCGCACATTAAGCACGTAGCCACAGAAATGGCAGCGGCGCAGGCTGTGGAACAGATGGAGCGGACAGATGTATCGGGGTTACGGTGATCTGAAAGATCAAGAAGGTGTGGACTCGCCAAACTAATCTCACATAAAGATATGCGTGGAACTGGTTTGCGAGTTCTCAGCTGTAATATAATATTCAAACATTAATTTCAACATCTCCTACATCAGAGAATTCATGAGTCTACCCAGGGTGTTTTACGTTGATTGCGGTGGTTTTCCGACGTTATACATGGCTTTACATGACTTTATATTCCAATATAAAGAAAACCTTTCCTATATATGACAATATCTTCGATTCACGAGTCCCCTGATGCCTATATTCTGGACGAAAATTTTGGTTTTCTTATTGGCTACAGGTCATGTGATTACTCCAAACGCACTATCCAAATTCAAACCCAGATTTACCAGTCCCCCTATCGACGGTTTGCCTCAGAGGGGCTGGTCTACCATTTCGACGCGCCGACGATTTGTGCCAGCGCCGCTTTGGACATGCATCTCATACTTGGACGTGACTGGTATACCGGTATGTAATATACGTAGTAGTCAATATTCAAAATCTGCGGTTCAAATCATAAAGTGAGTATTATATGTGAACCGCGTGTACATGCAACTAAGTAGATGGATTATGAAAGACGGATCGGAAGCATAGTATTCACCTAGCATAGCATACATCCACCTCGTATCTTCTCCGGCGTAAAAAAATGCACACCTCCACCACATTAATCATACTGCCGCATGGTCGCCTCCAGGGCATCCACATCCACATCAAAAGACACATCAAATGACGAATCTGCACCTGCCGCACCGAGTTTATCCTCCTCACCACCATCATCGTTGCTATCGTCCTTGTCCAGCTCAGGCGTTGAAGTCGGCGGGCTTTCAGGAGTCTGGAAGACCTGCTTTGGTGCGGGAATGGGTTTCGGGTTGGGTTTCTTGAGCAGCGGAGGCTTGAAGGGCGGAAGCGTCACCTGCTTTTGGCCCTTCGCTTGTGAAGCCGCATAGGGCGACTGTGTGGTGGTGTAGCGCGATTGGGAGGAAGGGAACCCGGAATTTGGGAGGTTGTGTTGCCGGCGCATCCCAAGTGGTGGGGGACCTCGCTGAGTTGTTGAGGGTGCCACAACAGTGTGCATATGTCTCGACTGGGGTATCTTCTCTGGAACTGTTGTAGATGTGGAGGTGGATGCAGTCGTAAGAGCTTTGGAAGAAGGGATAAACTCAGAGTTTGAAGAAGGAGCCGTAGGACGATTGGTAGAGGGGACCATAACGACACTAGGGGGCCCTCCCCATCGTACGCTTGGGGGGTAGTAGGACGTCATCCACATGCATCGAAAAAGACTCGTTTGGAGCTAAGTCACCTGCGAAATCGGTGAAAGTGCTTCCCTCGTGATCTGTATCTCGGTCTGAGTCCAACGTCATTCGAATGTCCCCGTAGGTGCCACTGTTTCTGGAAAGTTTAACTGTAGGCTTGATGGTTGCAGAGCTCAATGATCTACTGATTGTACTTCCTCGGGGAGGTGCAGAAGAAGCAGACGAAACACTAGCCGTCTTCTTTAAAGGCCTTGCAGTTAATGCGGTAGATGTGGATCTCGACCCAGATGAACATGCATGGGTATTCCTCCGGGTCGCGATATCCCCCGGGGTGCCTACTCGCCGTCTCCTTTTCTGCCTTCGCCCTCGCAGCCTGCTTTCGCCTGGAATTCTCGTCCATCTCTGCAGTGCCATTACGTATTATATGAAGGTACCCCGCGGCCAGCTCTGGATTGGGAGGGACGTCATCCTTCACAGGCGGGGTCGCTGAGTACGCACGCGACGGGGGTACTTTCTTTGAGATGAGTTTCATTGGATGTAATTTTCTTGATGAATTAGATGCAAATGTAGATGGGAGTATGCTTGTGGACGGAGTGGTAAAACCGGGGAAGGATGCCGTGCGTTGAGGGACAGACGTACTGGTGCTTGATGCCCACGTGGACGTGTGCGCAGACGCATCCAAACGGGCTGCAAGCAGGTCAAAAACAAGTCAAAAACACCTCGAACATTTCATGTGAGGATACGCACATTTTTGTTCTCGCTTTCCCTCCTTTTTGCTCTCTGCATTTTGCATGAGTTCCCGGATGACAGGGTCGGGTTGGGATTGCTTCCATGTAACGTAACCAACATCCTCGTCGATGCTCATGTCAGCGGATGCAGGCCGAGTACTGGCGCGCGCCCATTGGGATGAAGAGGAGAATTGAGAAGGGGACGGCCCTACGTCCCAGTCCATTGCAGAGTGTTAGTTTGGTGTAAACAAATGTGGTGAGAGAAGAGACCGTCAAAAACACGTTTTATACGTTGGATCACGATGTTAGTTGAAAAGGATGCGATGGTGAATGAATTGTCGCTGATATAAAGAGATAGACAATGAAAATTAAGTGGCCCACTGCACAGTCGACGTTCCAGGACCACAAGAGACGAAGTTTACTTCGGAGCGATGTTGTCTTTTTTCAGTTAATGACTGTTTCCACCAGACCTATAGCGGATCCAAAGCTGCTGCAAGCTCAGAATAAGTACTAGCTAATCGCTGTCTGTTACCGTTCGGACTCACCGTACGGCGGTCTGCTGCAACTCAGGCTGCAGAAAAGCACCCACAAGCGCCTGCTCCAAATCAGGAAGGAGATCCCCAAAGCGCCACATTCCAGTAGACTACTTAGTTGTTTGTTCCTTTGTCTCATTCATTCATTTGCCTTTGATTGCCTTCACAGACAAGCACGAAGCATTGTAGTTCTAGATGGGACGGCAAATCTACACGTGTCGCATCAGTTCTCAAAAGTTAGCTGCTTCATAAATGCTATTAATGGCTATACTTCAAGTAGTCACCTGGCACTGGCAGCTAAGATTATCACCCGTGTGTTGCCCTGCCCATTTTAAGTCAGTTCCCCTGAGAATAAAACTGACAAGTTACAGTTTAGATTCACAGCTTTCTGAAGTGCCTGAGCCGCAGGCGAGGATATTGAAGTGTTGAGATACTCCCGTTATCCTGTCATATTAATATGTCGAATGCGGATGTCATAGCGTCAGGGGACTCAGTGGTTTCGCACCGACGCTGTGTTCAAGTTGATACCGGCCGACTTGGCGAGTCCCACACGTCATTAATGTCATTGATGAAAGAAATACACCCGTTTGGTGATACAAATTACAAGTACAACCTCCAAAAACTACATCAACACTATTTACAGGACCAAATATTGGCCGTACAACAGTTGCACTGCATTGTTCATGAGTCGTGACGATCAAAAGGAATAAGCCTGTGCTTCGTGGAAGTACCGCCAATAGGCAGGGAGAAGATTTGCGACAGAAAACCATAACTATAATCTTACATCAGGAAAGACGCGCGCCAGTCAGAGAACCCCACTTACACTATACAATTTGCAAGACATTCGCGCTGACTGCGATGTCTTGCAGGTCATGAATCTGACTCCCACCATCGCTGCATATCCTGTGAATGCAAGCGTAGAGAGTGTGTCCATTCCCCAAACACAAGACAGGAAGATGGACCACAGAGGAAGGGCCACCAACATAGATGTCCGCGCTATATTGGGGAATGCTATGGGTAACGTTTGTCTGCCAATAAGGCGGTCCCCCTCCACGTCTTTGAAATCCTGAGCGTGCAATGTGCTCGTGAACACTGCAAGGCTCAGGAAAATCGCCGAAATTGCGGTGGGTTCTAACCGCGACATATCTTTGCCTGTTGAAGGAATAGATTAGCACAGAGTTCAGAGATAGGATGCTCGGAAACAAACCTGCAATAAGGGTGGAACCTATTTCGAAGCAAGCGTAACCCACTGCCGTTATAAAGTTCTTCGAGATCCAGTGCTCGTGAGCTTTGAGCTCATTATAGAATATTATGAACAGCGTCAACACGAAGCTTAACCCAAAGACTTGGGAGCTGTAGCATGCAGATATGACAAGACATATGGGAATGAGAGCCCATCGTAGTACAACGGCGCCTTCCAGGCTGATTAGACCTGCAGGTATAGGTCGGGAAGACTTGTTCTTCCCATCCTCCTGAGGGTCGATTATCTGATTGGCGACATTAAAATGAAGTAGATGGAGCCATATCCAGAAAACAATGTGAGAGCAACGTTGGAAATCACAGAGTGGCCCAGCCACCACTGCAAATAGTGTCTGATATGGTCAGTGCACCATAACAGAACAGCAAAAGAGTACATACAATCGGAATAATGGTGGTCGTGATATCATCGCTCGTGAAAGAATACAGAATTTGAAGGTAGAGCATGACGAATCGTGAGGGGATGGACAAGGCCCTGGCCTCTTAGTGACAAACCGCTGGTCCCTAAAAACTGTTTAGTGGGTGAACGGCCCGGTATAAATATCCTACCGCCTTGTATTAAATTGTCATCACCATCTTGTAATCTAAGTGATGAAAACTTGTTTGATCGACATCATCAGTTTCAACCCCGATTCCACACATCTACCGATCGGTCGATTATTTGATAAAATCACAGATTCCGTGGGCACGAGGCACGAGAGCGGTTGTAGGTGTAGGCGGTTGTTGGGGGACGAAGGTCCTTGTGGGAGCGACATATCCACATACTCACCCACATCCAGTTGAGCGCCCACATAGCCATGCAGAAACCGTTGAACATTTCCTACATTTCTTGATAGCATCAAAGTGAAGAACAGATCCGAGCGAACAGCCTCAATATTGAGCATCTTTCGCGGGAGTGTGTTGACAGGTCTTGAAGTTGAACCGATCAAGCTTCTCATCAATTTCCGAGAAATCTGATCGAATGCGATGAGTAGCGAAATGACATATGAGATAGGCACCTACGATATGTGATCAGACGACCATAGGTTAGCTTGAAATTGCACCCGCTTAACCAGCGTGCAATTATAAATAACACCACGTTAGCCAGAAGCTATTGCCAAACAAGTCTGCATTCGATAACACCTTCGTGCCGCATCTATCCTTCTTTGGTTCAAAGGTTTTGCAATTTTCTAGCCGGCTTAGCGGAGCGATGATAGGCCTTTAAGCAATCCTAATCTTTTCCCCAATGAGCGTTTAGAGAGTTGCGCAAGCTGTGGGAGTGATCATATCAAAGTTTTGTCATCGGTTTCTGGATTCATCGTCACTGACATGAAAGTATTGATACGCGTCAAGCAGGCTGTGCGAAGAAGATTCAAAACCTGTACTTTGGACAAGAGCCGCCCAGTTGGTTGGATGGTATCACTGGTGACGGAACAACGGAAGTGAACGGAGCATAAGCGGATTGGTGCTCACATATCTAGCGCATGTATCCCCACGACTCCACGCGAGCCTTGGCAAACGTTACTCTGAGACGACAGGGGTTATATGTCCGGCGTGTATGACCCTCGTCTTCCTCGTGTATGTAACTTTTGCCTCGTGTCGGGGACCGATCAGGGCAAATCAGGGTCGATACCCAGTGCCTATCAAGTATCACAAAAAGAAGGAACGGAAGGAACAACATCATGATGAGTCTGGATGTTGGTTTGTCCTCCTCCATATATTGGTAGACAAGTACCTGGCGAGATGAGATCGTTTGTGTGCAACGTCGCATCGATAAGATGCAAACGTGGCGTACAATCAAAGCGATAAGACATACCTCGAGAGTATCATAAAAATCCAAGATCGTACGATCTCTTAATTCCGACAAGCCTATTCGGAGAGCCGAACGAGGAGGGAATTGAACGTTCCATGACGCAGCTACGGCAGAGTGGGGATGCCAACCGGCGGTGCGGCGTTAGCTGGTATATCCAACTTCCTCGAAGATGTAAATTCAGACAGCCGGGTCTTTCTAACCCATAATAACGCAAGTTTTGAGGAAGCGTTATACTTCCATTCGCCAGTCTGCCTAGAGACACGACTGATCATCTAAGCCGAGTTTGGTCATGAGCTTCTCATTCCCCAACTGGGGTCAAACTTCGAGATGGTTGATACAAATTGATGCCATACACACCATGCTTCGACCTCGAGGCCTCTATTTTTGTCTGTTTTCAACGTCAGCTAGCGCTGTTCATGTGGACATATGTGTGTCACATCAGAATAAACTTGAGTTACAGTAATGCTTACCGGGAGTTCGACGGTCGGTACCGTAGGTTTGCGATTCGGTAGGAAGTTGTAGGCGAAAGCCAGCCTACTTATAACGTTAGACATGTGTGAGCCAGTACTTAACTGGTACTAGCTTTCCGCCCATGATGATATGGTGTCAGTGAGTGTCTCAGCAGGTTTGTGTCAGCCAGTAGACGCGTAACATACCGTTTCGACAAGAGCCCACTAACGAGCACCTCCGCCGGTACCACAGGTTTGGTCGCGCCACAGGCTCGGAAGCAAGTTTCGGCGTCTTGTTCTCACCCTGGACCAAACCTGGACTTGTGTCTCCGCATGTTCTTTTCAACCAACCAGAATGTGACCGAATCGTTTTCAACCCAAGGTCACTGCGCACTATTGGGCATGCCCACATGCACTGACATATGTACGTCCTTCATAGAATGTCTGCGACACTCTAGTTTTCAGCAACGTTCGTCAGCGGAATCGGGTACTTTTATTCGACGAAATGTACGCGGAAGTTCAACGGAACGTTCCACCACAAATTCATCTGTGAGTTACAACAGAGCGCAGACACATACATGGCTCTAATATGGCAAAGTCCAAAACACCCAGAAACGACAGACAGACAGTAAGTTGAAGCACACAAGATAATAGAGCTCCAACATGAACGCACGCGATAGTTGTAGCTATTAATGAATGAGCAACAAAAAAGAACAAAATAAAAGTGAGATAGTCCACACAACAAGCACTGTCCGAACGTTTCTATCATCCTGTCCGTGGTCATGACTGCTGTCCATTACTATGTTGCACTCCTCCATCCGGACTATAAGGATCGTAATCTGCCCCCTCTCTCCCATACGTGTCCCGATACGGTGAATGTAGATTAGTGCTACTCGCGTTCCACGCGGTGCTTGAATTATCCTGTTGCAACGGGACAAACGCACTCGAGTCAGAATGGCGTGCTTGATCATTGGTGGCTCCTCCGCGGGACGCGCCGCCACCATACCCATTACCCGTGGCTCTCATGGCATACGCAGCCGCAGGATGCTGGCGGCTGGCGGCGCGCCGACGGCGAGCCACAAAAATACCAAATAGCGCACCGAGAATACCAATAACAGCAATTGCTCCGATTACAGCACCAACGATGGTACCGGTGTGAGTGCCTCCCGATGCACTGCTTGACGAACTGCTACTACCTGAGCCTGAGCCTGAAGCAGCGGAATTCTGAGAGGAAGCAGGGAGAACAGTAGCGGCTTGTGTGGGTTGCGGCCCAACTTGACCGTTACCGACAATAACCATCGTCCCGTTGCTCGGAATACCGTTGATCACGACGAACATAAGAGCAGGTCCGGGAGTTAAGATATTAGGGTTCGGAGGAACTTGAGCCACGTGAAGGGTGATTGAATTGTTACTGTTGACGGTGTACGTATTGTTGAGCTGCAGGTACCTTTGACCCATGTTCATGGCGTGTGTAGTGAACCCGCCACGCAACAGAACGACGGTTGTGTTTGCAGCAGCAGCGTTACCCGAGCCACTGTACGCGGTCGAAGGGACATTGAGGTCGAAGGAGCTACCACCGTAAGAGAGAGTTTGCGGTGCGCCAGAGAAAGTTGGGCGTGTACTGGCGCTAAAGTAGGGCGGGTAGAATATCTCCGCGGTGTAGGTTGTGGGGAAAATGGTTGTGAGGTTGACATCGATGTTAGGGTTGGATCCGGCGATCATGACGGAAGCGTCAGGCATGAGTAAGGCACTGGAGTGGTACAGACGTGCAATGTTCGTGTTGCTCAGGCCGGCGTTCGACCATCGGCTGCCTGCGGGCATATTCGGGTTGTAGATGGCAGGAGTTCCGACAGGGCCCGAGGCCAACGACTCGCCGTAGGGCATCTCACCGTACAGAGCGGTCTGGCCAGTAGCCTGGGCGTAGCCAGCAGTACCATTCGTGCCACCATTGACAACCAAGAGGGTACCGTCTGGAAGGATAATGAACTGACCCATGGTGCGGCCCTCGAGCATGTCATCGTCTGAGACATAGACAGGAGAAGAGCCATCGGTGGGTTCTGGGGTGAGACGCTGACAGTCCTTGGAAGCAGGATAGGTCCAGGTGTTGTAGTTGGGGTATGAATAGTTACCCCAATACTCGTCAGGCATGTCACTGCCGCCACAAAAGATGACGGTGGGGGTGTAGTTGTTGGCGGGAGTGAGGGGTAGCATGGCAACAGCGCCAGAAGCAGGGTAAACACGAGCGACACCGCCTGGCATGCCGGGAAGAGGTGTCTCGACGTTGGTATCGGGATTCCAGAGGACTGATTGGAAGTGTAAGAAAATCGACAAGAGCATGAAAATAAGACATACTAGTAGAGATATTGGCCTGGATGAGCATGTTACCGGAAGGCATGAGGTAGGTATGTGCGTAGGAGTTGAGACCTGAAGTAGTGATCATGAAGTTCATGACAGTTGCGGCTCCCTTCGAAGGGAAGAACTCATACGTCGGTTCAGCAGCACCGCCTTCATATTCTGGGTCCGTATTAGGCGTGTTCCGGTTGATGTACCCACCACTGACAAAACCGCCGATCAAGGCAATAGAACCATCACCAAGAGCCTCAGCGGCAGAGTACCACCGCATCTTCTGCATAGACAGAACGGTAGCGTTGTCATACCATTGACATTGAGCACTCGACATGTCCTGAGCACTCGTACAAGGATTGAGGATACGGATAGACTTTCTTCCGTCGTAATCTTCATAGGTTGTATCATACGAGCCTGAACCAACATCGCCAGTGGAACCAAGGGGGCCGATGGCACTGTTGCCACCAAACGTTGCGTACGAGCCATTTGGCAGGTGCATACCAGAAGCGCAGAAGGTATTGGTCAAAATCTCCATCGTCTGGGCTGTGTGAGCATTGACATCCCTGGACGCAAAATTAAGCGAGCTTATTGGTATAAAACGAAAGCGAGAACGCGTACCATGCAGCACCCCAAGCAGGGTGACCATCTATTTGAGCAGCATTGCCCTCCGTTTTGTCGAGAATGTAGACCTTCTCCTCGTTACCAAGGAACATCTTCGGAGCGAGTAACTCAGCATAGAACAGAACAAGGAAAACAATTTCGTACCATCATGGCGCTGACTTGTGTATTACCGACCTGAACGATGGAACCTGCCTGTTGGGCGGCTGCCAGCTTGGAAGACGCTGCTAGGCCGAAGGCCAGCCAAGCAACGGGTGTGAACATTGTTGAGTGGTCGTACTATAGGTTTAACGAAAGCTTTGAAAGACAGAATACGAGGTATCGATACGACCGAACAAAGTCGGAGGACTGAAAGCGAAAAAGAGCGTGGGGTGAGGACTAGGAATGGGTGAAGTGACCCTTTGAGGTGACGTTGTTTATTCTACTTCGTTTTTTTTTCGTGGTCCCCGGTCACCTGACCCCCTCGGCCATCACCTCAATTTCCGTTTCTAAGGTTCTAGATCATTTTCAGTCCAATTATAAATCCTTCGAGCCCTGCAAATGCCCTATGACACAAAATCTATGCGGTATCACAGTCATACTACATGTTGAGTTCTATGTCAAATTTAGGCCGCTCAAAGGCCCCAACGTCCCCCGAAGTTTGACCAAGTTTTGCATCATATAGTGTCGGCGAATCTGGACCTCGTTTGCGCGCCTTTTAGTTCTTGTATGATGCTGTGTAGGTGCGCTTGCTTGTTTCTGATCCAGTTTGCCCACAAGGCCCCGTTTTCAGGACTACGTGTCAGCGGTATGTATAAGCAATGATCGGTTGGATGAGATCCGGCTTTGTTTTTCAGGTAGACTGAATTTTAATGTCATAACGCGGACGCCGCTTGGCTTCTTGGCACGTAACAACGCATGAGGGCTGTAGAGCAGATACAACGTGTACCGCTCGACTGCGCAAGTGATAAGGGCGGGAGACGGTAAGACGTTCAACGAGAGTGTTCGGTAAACTTTGTTCAATGGTTTTGAATGATACGAGACTCTTTTGACGTTGAAAACTGAGCTGAACCGACTCACTGAGTGACTGGCAACCTCTGGCAATATTTACGAGAAATGCATGCGTATTTTTATATCCGAGGAGAGAACTAGGCCGCCAGGTGCTGTACAAGATCAGCTAGTACTTCGGGCGTACTACGTAGTCGAGAGACAGAATATGAACAAAGTGTGAGAATGTGAAACGTTGGAAACGGAGACGGAAACGGAGCGTACGGAGTCGGAATCGTAAAAGTGTTTGATGCAGCGGCGTTCACTGGCATTGCTGCCTTCCTTACAGGCCCAGCTGAGCAGTCAGGTACACCTCGCTTGACTTGCTTCCAAGAGCGAAACAGTTTCAGTTGATTGTACCCTAGTAAACATAGCTTGGGCCGTTCTCGCTTCCATGCCTCAAATCACGTGCACAGTGCATTAAGTATATTTATCTCATACTGCGTTGAGTTTGCTCAGCGATCTCAGATTATATGCACGCTAGAATCATCATCTGAGACTCAGTACATATATATACAATTCTTTGTGATGAGCACGCTTGTCCTTGTCCTCTTGGGGCAATCAGCGGATGCTGACTGAGGTGAAGGAACATCTTTTGTATCACTGCCCTTGTGAAGTGCACTGTCTCGAATCCGGAATATTCTCAAAGTCACTGATACGCAATCAAGAATCAAGAGTAGGTTGCAAATTAATCAGCCCTGAATAGCTTGTCACCGGGCCTCATAAGCCATGCAGGAATGGACAGCTCCATCATACAAATATGTTTACTCTGCAGCCAGTGCCAGAAGAATCACACATTTCACATGAAGTGATGATAATTACAGTCCTCTCAAGTTTTGAATTCATTGCCAGTAATGTTCAACAAGAATGCGACAAGATGAATTCATGCATTATGATGCTACAGGATTTTGCTGATGGATGCCATCAGGAAGTGATCTTGTCACACAGTGTCCACAGCACCTACACAAGCTGCCATCCAAAATAGCAGGGTCTTGGATATCACCAGACTAAGAAGCATATCCTGCTGAACCCATGTGTCATATGGATGAACCAAAGCTTGGAACACGTCAGAGATATATGCAGTCTGCATATCTAAATGCCCAGAATTCATATGTTGTGATGGCAAAATATTGGCATTTCTGCTTGGAACACATGTCCCATAACTTCGTATCATGTGAGATGGTGCTGCACATAGGCAAAGCCCACATAACAGCTGATGCGCTAGCAGGCTTGGTGGTGGGAATACCATTGAGGCTTCTAGGGGTTACCTAAAATGTGTAAAAGGAGTAAGAGTAATGTTTCAAATAGGGACAATGCTCACACCACTCCTGTGTCTATGAAGCTGATGAAGTCCATATTATTAAGGGCCCAGGGAAGAATGACAAAAATGATCATGCTCGTGTGGTCAGGATGGGGGCTGGGCTGTGATGAACAAAGCACTAATTAGAGCAAATCAGGCTCGAAAAATAAGGATGCATACAAGGAAGACTATGTCAAAAATATT